CTGGGTGTGGACCTACACACTGCTCATTAAGCCATGCTGTGTCCCACATAGAAGAACTACAATGACTTACAACTAGGGTATACAACTATGTACTGGGGCTTTGGGGAGGGGGAAAAAAAAGAGGAAGATTGGTAACAGATGTTAGCTCAAGGCCAATCTTCCTCACCCAAAAAACAAACAAACAAACAAAAAAAGAAAGCATCTTGTCCAGTCCCTTCATTAAATAAGTAAATAAATAAATAAATGAAAAGGTTACTTTGTTGTGTTGCTATGATAGTAAAAGCAGAAAGATCAGTTTGAGATGTCTAGTAGACACTACGTTGAGAGTGCTGTGGGTTTGCTTAGGTTAGCTGAACTGTGTCCTTTAGAATTTCTTTTTGTGCAGGTCTCTGAGAGGCAGGCGTACTCTTTGTATGTCTCAGATTGTCTTTATCTTACCTCCACTTTTGAATGTAGTTTAACTGGGTATAGAATTCTGGTTGACAGTTGTTTTCCCTCAGTGCTTTGAGACATTATGTTTTTTATTATAACCAATGAGAAACTTGTCTTTGGTATAATTGGTGCTCCTTTGTAGATATTCTATTTTTTTCTTTCATTTCCTGTGGCTTTTAAGGTTTTCTCTTACTCACAGTTTCACTATGATATGTGTAGGTATGAATTTATTTACTTGGGATAAGTACTGGCCATATGCTTTGAATCTGAGGCCTCATAACTTTCTTCACTTCTGGGAAATTTTTAGATATTTCTTGGAGTATTTTTATCCTAGTAGTCATTCTGTTCCTATTTTCTAACTCCTATTAGATTGTATTGGATTCTTATCTCAAGCTATCATATGTATGTATGTATGTGTGTATATATATATATATATATTACACACACCATGTATATATATTGTATTTTTGTCTTTCTGTATACTGTTTTGGGTACATTTCCCAGAAAACTGTCTTGTGAGTTGCCAATTGTCTAGAATTCATCATATCTGTTATTTTTTTTAAATTTTGAAGTTACAGTTTCATTTCCAGTATTTCCAATATCTTTGTTTTCACATATGCTTTTTCTTACTTCAGTACTGTCTGTCTTTCGTAATTTCTTGCTGTTTTAAATAGAAGTTATCCCTTCCTTTATCTCTTGAGTATTCTAAACAGTTATTTTAAGGTCTTTGCCAGACTGCTCCATAAAATTAGATTTCATATGGAGTGAATTTGTTCTAATTGTTGATTTTTTAGATTGTTTTTCTTAATGTAAAACTTATTTCTGTATTTTGAATTTCACTTTGCTGGCTGTGATTGTGGGAGCCTTTTTGGTTTATTTATGTAATTTTTTCTCTCTGGGCTCATTCTTCTCTGTTAGAGGAACTAGATTGGATAGTGGCATTTTGGGTCTCCCATCTACAGTGATCCTGGGGATGTCACAAATCTAGTCACCAAGTGAGTAGTCAGGCTGGTCAGAGTCTCCCCTGACCCATGGCTTTTCCTACTGCTGCAGCCCCAGCAACTCTGGCAGTAGCCCCTTCAGCCCTTCGTGGGAGAGGAAGCTGCTAAAATTCCCCATTTCATGGGAGAAGGGTGAGTTACTCCACAGGAACTGACTTCCTGGCCATCACTGCTGCTTCTAGAGCCGTAACCCTTCAGATCTCTGCGATCAGCACACTCACTGCTTTGCATTTCTATTCTGTTTTACTCAGATAATTATCTTATTTTTGAGCTCACTTGGTTTTAGGATTCTATTTGTATGTTTTGGTTATTATTAATATGTGTTGTGGAGGGGATGTGTCTTGTTAAAATGTAAACCAACTGTTCTATCTCTATCAGAAGTTCAATTGAAACTCTTTAAAACTTGCTTTTCTCATAATAATAGACAATAATTTTATAAAACAACTCTTAAGAACTTATTAAACACTCTGCAAGAATGAACTGTTTTAATCTTCCCAACAACTTTCATCTTATAGGAGAGGAAAGTGAGAAATGGAGAGGTTTTGTAACTTGCCCTGGATCACACAGCTATTAGGTGGCAAAGCAAAGATTCTAAAGTAAATAACTTGGCTCCATAGTCTGTCCTCCTAACCACTGTGATATACTTTCTCATCTGTTAGTTGGGGAAAATACCTTCTCACAGATTTGTTTGTTGCAAGGAAACATAAAGTGTGAAAAGCCTCATGTTGTATCTGATTATATTATACAATAGGCATTCAGTAAATGTTTTTCTTTCCTTAGTGGTAGGCAAATATATTTCCAGTATGATAATTTAAACAAAACTTATAAGTGCACTTTGTTTAAAATATAACATGTTTCATTTTAGTAAAAAGGGTGGGAGTTCCATTGTTGGACCGATTCCCTTGTGTGGCTGTTGGGGCAGAACTGGTCTGGGAGAGTAGCAGAGCTAGGAGGCAAGGGAATCAGATAAATATGGTCCAACAGCAAAGTGCAAATTGGAAACCAGACAATTGAAGGATTTTGCAGAAAATGATCCTGGGGAATTCCAGAACAGAACAAGGTTTGGACTAGATGGTAGGATTTGGTGCCTTGAGCATTTCCCAGAGCTTCTGAGGTTCCTGGATCCTTGGCAGTGGGCAGAGAGGGCTCTGTTGAGGGCACTTGGCCAGCCTTGACCTTGTTGAACATTCTTCTGGCCTTTGTTTTTTAAATCCCCCAAATTAACAAGGAGCATTTAGTGTTAGTATGCAACACTCAAGGGAATAAATAGACCTGGTTAACTGTTTATGGTTATAATAGCCAAGAATCTAAATTAGGGAATTGGCTCTGGGGCCTTTTTCACTCATCTCATCTGCTTCCTCAATCCTACATATGTGGACCTTGCACTATTCTGCCTACTCATCTTTCAAAGTCCAACTCAGATTCCATTCCTTCCGTGGCACTTTGTTGACCCACGTATACCTTGTGCTCTAAGTACATTAGAAGCTTCGAGAAAGGAAAGGTCCTTGTGAGATGCAATATTTGGAGGAAGTTTCACCAATTTGTGTGAATAGGGTTAAGTGTGGAGACCATAAGCAACTGCTTAGTTGGGAATATGGAGAGAGAGAGTGTGTCTGTGTGTGTGGTGTATGTTAGGATGGGAACCAGCAAAGTGAACAACCTTATTAAAGCAGAAGAGCTGTGTAGGAATTTTTAAGGTTTGATTCAAGTAGGAGAGTTAGGACCAGGTCATAGGTGACCTTTAAAGTGGAAAATTTGATCAGGAAGGAAAAGGAGTTAGATCAAGATTTGTTAACAGTCAGGAGTCATTGTAAGTTCAGGCAAGGAAGGGTGATGCATGGTGAGGTGGTCCACTCTGATCCCAGACCTGCCTGCCTTCTCAGATTGGTTGATTTTGCTAGAACCTCTGTGTGCCAGCTCAGGGAGGCCCAGGAGAGGCTCACTGACAGGGCTAAGGAGCATTACTGAACTAGAGTATTTCAGTGCACTTGATAGGAAAATAAGGAAACAGGAAAATATCCTTCGTCTCCTGCAGTTTCTTTCCCTCTTAGTTTTTCCTACATGGTGAATTCCTACCAGAGACTTGACCTTAGACTGCAGCATTATCTATAAGCTAGTCCTACATGGCCAATAGTCCTGAGGTGGGGGAGAAAATACATGTAAATGAAATCCACAGATAATCTTAGGTCAAGTAGTTTTTACTTTTTTCACCTCTGTGACTCCAACTTTTTCTTGCATGGTTAGATCACAAAAAGATGACTTTGCTTTAATTCTCCTTTTTGTTTTTCTTTTCCCTGCTCATCCATTGTGGTGTAAATTAACCCAAATATACTTAAAAGACAATGAAGAATGAGCAAAAGAAGGCAGTGATCCATAACTGTATCCTTAGCACTTACGTAACAGCTCCGAGGACTTTGCATTTCAGTTTTTGACTGGGCAGCTGTGTGAGGGTTATACCAAGCTGGCCATGTTAGTAATAAACTAGAGAAGTTATTCCATGAGACACAAGGCATTAATCTTCATTTTTAAAAGATATAACTCCACTAATGGAAAGTAACTTCAATCCTTATAAATGTAAAAGTGTAAGAGGATTATTTTTATTATAAAAAATTTCAAATATATAAATGGATCATTTTTATTAAGAAAATTTTCAAATACAAATTTTAAACATATATAAATATATAAACTATATAAACATAAAAATTTCAAACATATATATACACCTGTATATAAAAGTAGAGAGAATAATAGAATGAACCCCTTTACCTATCACCCAGGTTCAACAGTTATCACAGTTTTGCCATGCTTGCTTCATCTATTCCTTTCATTGTGATTTGCTGAAGTGTTAGAAAGTACAGCCCTGTTTGTTATTTTTACTCTTAAACACTTCAGTGTGCGTCTCTAAAACATATGGACACTGTCTTCTGTGTCCACAGTGCCATTGGCACATGCTATAAATAATTCTTTGGTGTCATATAATATCTCTATGAGGAAATTTTTTACATTTGTTTTGTTCAAGTTGGAATCTAAACAAGGTTCACACTTTGCATTTGGTTGTTATGCCTTTGAATCTCTTTTAATCTCATGGTTCAGATTGTTAGTGGCTGGTTTTGGTGTTGAGGGGAGTGAGTGGGAAGAAACAGGAGTGAGGTGGTGGATTTTAAGCCATGCTAAAAGGAAACCTTTAAAATCACAGAGCCTGCTGGGATAGGAAGATTTGATTGTAACATTTATGGCTGAACTAATATTTTTAGGCCCATGTCAAACTTTTAAAATTGTCTTCTTTAGTGTAATATATATATGCATTCATGTGCTGCATAATGACGTTTCAGTCAACGACAGACCACATATACGACGGCGGTCCCCTAAGAATTGCTTCAAATCCTAAGACCCATAATAAAGAGGAAAGTAGGTGAAAAGTAGAAAGTGAGACCTTTTTTAGTTTCCGTCCCTCCAAATGTAAGGATATTTATTCTTTTCTAACAGTGTTAATGTGTATCAGTAGTTTGTACTTCTACTTTTTGGTACCTGATAATTCCAAATGTTTGCTTTATATATGCCTTTTAGATGCCATAATGTGAGTCTGCAAAAGCTGCCAGAACAGTGGTTGTGGAATGTTTTAGAGGAAATTAAATGCAGCAATCCTTCGTCTAAACTCTGCACTACAAGGCGCAGTGCTGGGATTCCTTTCTACATACAGGTACTTATCTATAGGACCGTGGCTGTTTGCTTGCTTTTTTATAATAGTGTATTCTGATCCCCTTGACATGAGAGTGAGCATATTGCATGAGGGTTATTTCTGTCTTTTCACCACTGTAGCATTTGTGGCTTTGCTTTAGTGTGTGGACAGTGTGTTCCTGTGACAGGTCTATTCTTGGAATGAACCCTCTAAGAAGTCAGTCTTGTAATATGAACAGAGGTTGGTATAGATTTCCGCCCGTGATTTAAGTAGGCAGACATCACTGTGGCACATTTATTGCTCACTTCCAGGAAGTGCACATTGCCTTTTTTTAATTAGAAAAGATAGTCTTCTCATTTCAAGACCCTTAAGACTCTCTGTAGGCAACCAGTGTTAACAGTTTCTTTGAATCCATCCATAAAATGTCCATGCATAAAATAATCCTAATAGTAGCTAACATTTATAAGTGGTTATTTCACATATATTATCTCATTTAATCCTCCCTCAAGCCCCATGAGACAGGTCCTGTTATCATACATATATTATCGATGAAGAAACTGGTGATTAGAAAAGTTAAGTGACTTGCCAAAGGCCACAGACGTAGTAAGAACAGAGCAAAGACTTGAGCCCAGGCAGCATGACTCTTGAACCCCTCTGCATATGAGAAAGGGTGTGTGTGAGTGCATTTTCTTTGTTTTAACATAGATGAAAGCATACTATACACACCATTTTCCCCCTTGCTTTTTTTCACTTAACATTGTATCTTAAAGATTGGTCCATGTCAGCACACCCGGATATTGCTGTTTGGTAGAAAGATATTTTATTTCTACATTGTTGAAATTAAGAGGCTGTCACCTTCATGAATCTAAAGAATAAAACCAAAGTCCTCACAATACTAAATCAGACCCCATCCTGAGAAGCCTTTGTTTAATATTCAATAAGATAAAATCCAGGAATGAGGATGGTGTAATAAAAGCAATGAAATTAAGTGAAATGAAGTCTCTGTTTTTTAATGCCCCTGCGTTTTTTCCTTCTTTTTCTTATTCCTCCCTCAAATTCCCAAAGTCATGGTTTTTTTTTTTTAATAACAATGGGCATCAGTTGCAGACGTGTTCATCTGATACAAAGCTCATCGAGGTAGTTCTGCTGGATGGATTTTGGTGACCTTCAGAAGTCAATTCCTCTCTGATCCGACCCATCTGGATCAGTGTGGTTCATTCTCCCACCTGTAGTTCATTCTGACCTGGCGTGTTTTTGCCTCATTCGTCCGTCTGAGGACAAATGTGAAGGCAACAGCAAGGTCTGGTTGCATGTTTGTGCTATATGCTTATTCCACCTCTAGTTCCCAGCTAGTACTAAACATTGGTCATAGGATGGAGCCATCAGGACATGTGCTTTCTTAGCCCATCCTTGGAGAGTGTGTCATAACTATGCGCAGTTCTTGGGGGAAAAAAGCCGTGGTTCCCAGAAGACATTTCAACAGTTGCATATAGCTTTCCTATTTATTTTAGTTGAATAAAATCTAAACTATTAGAAAAATCTACTCAGAGAGGCCACATTTCTCTTGGGGTAACTTACCAATGAAGTTATGTATTCTTGTTTTGGTGGAAACCTTTGCTTAGTGTTAGCAATGGAGAAAAACTGACCACAGTGCTTAGTTTATGAGCTTACCTTTTATGTAGACAGATATAAAGTTCTTTTGGAATGATCATTAAAAAAATAGTATATATATTTTCTAAGCATAAATATACTGTGAGAAATTTCTCTTTTAAACCTGACTGTTCTGTGTATATATCTTTACTTTCCTCTTTTATGGATTATAAAGTGCATCAGAAGAAGCTGTGTAGCTTGAAACTTGCACTCTCAGGAGCCCGTAGCTACATGCATATGAAATACCCTTGCTATTCCCAGCCCCACACAACCACTAATCTATTTTCTGTCTCTATAGATTTGTCTATTCTGGACATTTTGTGTAAGTGGAATCATACAGCATGTGGTCTTTTGTCTGTCTGCTTTCACTTAGCGTAATGTTTTCAGTGTTCATCCACGTCGTAGCGTCTATCAGTATCTCATTCCTTTTTATTGCCTCAAGTGGTTTGTATCCTATTTTTATGTTTATTAAACATTGGCAAAATGTTAGACACAAAGTGAAAAAACAGCTCCCCAAAATTCAAATACAGGACTGCTTTGCGGTTTATAGTATTCCCTTTTGTCCCATGGAGTTTCTGATGCTGCGGTTTCATAGTCTTCCAGGTAGAGACTCTTTTGTGAAGAATTAAATAACTGATCAGTCTTCAGGGAGTTTCCAAATCCTTAACAAGAAACTTAAGAAATTTGAAAGAAAGAAATTTATTACTAAAAATGAGTTGCTTATTGTATCTGAGACCTGCCACCTAATTATGGTCCTAAAAGATTTGTCAACAAGAGCCATTCTCAACCTCTTAAAATGATATAATTAACAAGCAAACGGGAAGTGACTTTAGAGATTCCATGATATCACCTTCACCTGATTTTACAGAAGGAGCCTCTGAGGGAGGGAGAGGTTAAGCTACTGGCCCAGGGCCGCATGACTTAATTAACTTGCTTGATACCACATGTTTTTATAAAGGGGACTTTACGTTTTGGAATTGATCCTGGGAAGTAGCAAATAGGCGTATGTAAAATAAGAGCCCTGTTAATTTTACGTTGATTTTCCGTAGGCACTGTTGGCATCTGAGCCTAAGAAAGGCAAAATGGACTTGTTGAAAATAACAATGAAAGAGTTAATCTCTTTGGCTGGGCCTACAGATGACTCACCGAGCACAGTCCCCCAGGTAATAATGGGAACACACAAACCCTGCTAGGGAGACAGTGGTTTTAAATCTTTGCTGTACTTAAAAGAAGAAGAAAAAAATGTCTGCTAAAGATATAGAACTGGAAGATAGGACAGACATTTGAAGCTTATTTGGATGTCTTTTTGTTTTGTTTTGTTTTGGTTTGATTTTTTCTGCCCTGCTGCTTTAGTTGATGGATATTGACCAAAGTGGACTATTTTTAAACTCTGGTGAAAACATCCAACTTAGATAAACTATTTTATAATATTACTATTGCATCTAAAAATTTTAAAATGAGTGTGCCATCACTTTAAAATTTTATGTGTGCTTCTTTGAGTTGATACAAATTTTGTAATTCAACAGTTGAATCTTTCCCTAAGATGTAGTGTCTAACTTTTGGCATATTAACATTTTAATTTTAGCTAATACTTAGTGCCTTTTAGTCACTGCTGAAGTTGGGTAAGTATGTACACGTGTGTGTGGCTGGAGTTGGGCTGAGCACTCCACACAGCTCTCCTCCACTCCACTCCGCGGTAGTAACGACCTGTCAGATCCTCCTTGTCTAGGCCTTCTCAGTAAATGCTTCGCAGCTGGACGTTCCTGCCCAACTGTGGGAGGTCCAGACTAGGTCAGAGAACAGACTGAGAGCTCAGGTTTACCATCAAGTACAGTAAGTACGTTTGGTTTTCTTTTAGGGCCTGTGGGAGGTGTTAAAGCAGAGCCCATTGGCTAGAATGTGGACTGGTGGAGAGGATGGCCTTCATTAACATATGGCACACAGTGGCATATGACTATAAGCTGTGAAACTTATTTCTTTGGAAATTTTAAATAAAATGTTATTAATCACCTTTCCAAAGTGATCATTTTATTTTCCAACAAAATATGAAAAATACAATTAGTTCCTTTTTCCTAGATTATCACTCTTTTAAAAGTACTATTTTTTATAGGAACATCTAAAAATAATGGAGTTGGTTTTAAAGAGTGCTGGATAATTATTGTCCTATTCTACTTCGAGATTGTAAATGGCATTTTAGTCATCATTTAGATTAAATTGGTAAAATTTTAAAATGTTGTCTCTGACCAGTCTTCCAGGCGTTAGTTGATGATTTGCTTTCCTTCTCCCCTCCCATGGCTTACTTCTTTATTATTTTTTTAATGTATCTGTGAAATGTTTCAGTACCTAAAAATGTGCAGTGACTAATGACCATCCCTGAAACCAATTCCAAGTTTTAAGAAGTAAAACATTACAGGTATAATTGCTTACACTGTGGGTTCCTCCCCATCCCATTCCCATTTCTTCCTCCTCAGCTGTAGTCAGTGACCCAAATCATTCCCATGCATTTTTTTCATTCTTTTATGACCTTTTTCTTTTTGCAAGAGTGGTATCATCTACACATCTTTTTATAGTTTGGATTTTTCAGTCAACATTATTTTTTAAGATTAGTAAGCTCCAAGTTCATTTAAATTTCTGAACAGTCTTTCATTGTATCCAGGTTTTCCCTTTCTACTTGGTATGACATGGTGTTTCCCAGTTTTATTTTGTATTTCTCCAATAACTGGCTAGCTCTCACATCTTTTCATGTATTTATTACTCTTTTGGATTACTTCTGTGAATTGCCTATTTAAAGACTGCCTACTTTTAATTTGGTTGTCTTTGTTTTGCAGGAGTTGGGTTTTTTGTTGGTTTAAAATTAACTTCCCTGATATTAATTCCTTTTGGTTATTTGAATTACACGTATCTTCTTTCAATCTATGGCTTCTCTTTTCACTTTGCTTATGGTTTGTATTGTTACATGGAAGTTTTAAATTTTACTAAAATGGAATATGTCAGCTTTTCCTGTTATGATTTGTGCATTTGGATCTTGTTTAAGAAGTCCTTTCATACCCCCAGGTCAGAAAGATATTTTATATTTTGTTTTTAAAGTTTTACTTATCACATTTTGGTCTTTACATCACCCATAATTTCTTTTTGTTGACATGTAAAGTAAGAAAATAATTTTACTATTTTCTATTTGGATAACTAAAATACAAGCATTTTTGATATAGTACCTCCTTTCCCCTTGCTTTATAACAGCACTTTTATCATGTACTGTTTCTATCAATATGCATGTCTGTTTCTGTCTTCTGTTCTATTGGTCTATTAGTCTATCCCTGGGCCAAAATCACTATTTTACTTACTATATCTTTTTAACAAGTTGTGATATCTGGTAGGGTGAAGCTCCCTTTTTTTTCTTCAGAACTATCTTGGCTGTATTTGTCCCATTGCTCTTCCATATAAGTTTTAGAATCAGCTTGTTAGGTTCAACAAAAGGCCTTTTTTGAATTTTGGTTGGAATTTAAATTTATTGATTTATTTGTGGAAAATGACCTTTTTTTGTTTGGTGAGGAAGATTGTCTCTGAGGTAACATCCATTACCAATCTTCCTCTTTTAGCTTGAGGAACATTGTCACTGAGCTAACATCTGTGCCAGTCTTCCTCTATTTTGTATGTGGGATGCTGCCACAGCAGGGTTTGATGAGCGGAGTGTAGATCCATGCCTGGGATCCAAACCCGTGAACCCCAGGCTGCCAAAGCAGAGCATGTGAAATTAATCACTATGCCATTGGGCAGGCCCCCAAAATGACTTTTTTAATGTATTGAATCTTCCAGTCCACGAGCATGGCTTATTTCTCCATTTATTTGGATCTTCCTTAATGTCTTTAATTATTTTTAAAAATAATTTTCTGTAAAAGTCTTATAGATCTTTTGTGAGCTTTATTTCTACATATTTCATATTTATTCTTGCAATTATAAATGCTATTTTAAAAATTACATGTTGCTAGTGTGTAAAATGCAGTTTTTTGTTATTGTTGTGCTTATAGTCAGCATCCTACCTGAATTGTTGTAATACAACTCATGACTTGTCCGTAAATCCTTTTGGAATTTTTTTAATAGACAATCATATCCTCAGTAATGCTAAATTTGTTTTACCTTTTGAATTCTTGTTCTTAAAAAAATTTTCTTATCTTATTCTGCTGCCTGGAACTTGTTGGTACAGTTTTGTATAGAAATAAAGATAGTAGGCATCCTTATATTGTTTCTGATATTTGCTGTGGGTTTTAACCTGTCTTATATCTGATTAAGGACATTGAATTTTATTGAATCCTTTCAAGCATCTTTTGAGATAAATGTTTTCTTGTGGAATTTTCAAACATCCTAAATTATATAGACTTTTGAATATAATTTGGTCTTTGCATCTAGAGAATGAACCCCCAACTTTGATGTGATGAATTTTTTTTTTACACATTGCTAAATTCACTTAAAAATTTTCAAAACAATATTTTTACATATTTTCACTGTATTCATAAGTGAAATTGGCCTGTGATTTTCCTTTTTCATGCTGTACCTATCCCTATTTTTTATGTGAAATTTTGTATTGAATTACAGTGTATATACAAAGTCATGTACAGATCATATGTGTACCTCAGTCAAGTTTACAAAATGAGGGCACTTGTGTAACCCACAAGGAAGAGAACATTTTAGCACCTGAAAGCCCCCTCTTGCTGCCTTTTAATCAGCACCTTTTCCCTGAGAGTAACTACTAGCCTAACTTTAACACCTTAGTTTTACCTGTTTTTTTGAATTTTATATAAATGAAATCATACATTAGATACTCTTGATATGGCTTCTTTTGACCAACATTATGTTTATGATATCCATCCATATTGTAACTTATTCATTTTCATTGCTCTATAATACTATACAATTTATTTATCCATTCTTCTCTTGATGAATATTTGGATCGTTTTTAAATTTGGGTTATTAAGAATAGTACTTTTAAGGACATTCTTGTGCATGCCTAATGGTGAACATATATGTACATTTCATTTGAGTAGATACCCAAGAATTGTTATGGGATATGTGTATGTTCAGCTTTAGTAGATACTACCATCTTCCCAAAGTAGTTGTCCTGACCTTGTTTTGATAGCCAGGCTGTACCAAACTTAGAATTCTAAGAAATTTGGGAGTCTTCTCTAAACAGTTTATATAAGGTTGGGATTATCTATTCTTTGACTATTTGCTAGGATTCATGGGGTTGTCTATTCTTTGAATTTTTGGTAGAATTCATCCATAAAATCGTGGATCTTTTTTTCTTTTTTAACTGTTGTGGTTATTTTGTTGGATTTGGTTTTTTGTTTTCTTTTTGGTCTGTGGGTAAGATTTTTAACTATTGATTTTCTTTATGTAATGGTAATATCTGTCTGGCTTTTCATTTTCTCCTTGAATTTGTTTTGATGAATTCTGTTTTCTAGGAAATTATTTGTTTTGCCTTAATTTCTCAAATTGATTAGGGTAGTATTATTCACAGTGTTATTTTTGCTTTATTCTCTGATGTATCTGTAGTCATGTCCTCTTTGGTCTTCATGATATTGCTTATTTTCTTCTCTCTCTTCTTGGTTAGTTTTGGCAGAGGTTTGTTTGTATTTCAAAGAATCAGCTTTTGGTTTTGTTAATCCTCTTAGTTATGTCATTGCTATTTTCAGATTTTCTGCTCTTTTTTTATTTTCTTCTCTATTTTGAGTTTATTGTTCTTTTTCTAGTGTCTTAATTGGACATTTAGCACATTTATTTTTAGTCTTTTTTTAGATAGAAGCATTTGAGGTATGCATTACCTCAAGGATACATAGGATACCTAAAGTGCATCCCAAAAGTGTTGATGTGTAGTATCTTTGTTATTGTTCAGCTGTAACGATTAAAACATTTTTTCTTTGGCCAGTGTTTTAAAATGTGTCAGTGTTTAAAGTTTTTAAAGAAAACAATTTCTAACTTAATTCACTATAATCAGAGCATAATCTGTAAGATATTAATTATTTGGTATTTGATAAGACTTTATTTGTAGCTAGGTTTCAGGTCATTTAAAAAAATAAATGTTTCGTGTGTGCTTGAAAAGAGTATGTTGTCTCTATTCGTTAGGTACAGGATTCTACATATGTCTGCTGGATCAAACTTTTTAATTTCATTGTTCAAATCTTATTAACTTTTAAAAAATTGATTTATCAGTTATTAGGTGTGTTTTATTAAAATCTGCTGTTTCATTTGTGGATTATTTCTTGTAATTTGGGTTTTTTTTTTGTTTTGAGGCTATGCTGTTGACTTCGTACAGATTTAGAATGACCATGGTCTTCAACCCACAACTAAGTTTGAACTTTTGATTCTAGGTTCACGCTTTAAATATCCTGAGAGCCTTGTACAGAGATACACGTCTAGGCGGAAATGTTATTCCTTATATTGCTGATGGGGCTAAGGCTGCGATTCTGGGCTTTACATCACCGGTCTGGGCAGTAAGTGCTTTTGCCATTTATTTTCATTGACTTAATTATACTTCTGAGTAGGTTTTAATAAACTAACCTTTCACTGGATGATAAAAAATAGGTACCACATTTTATCAAGGAGTTTCTCTAAGGGATAAATCCTGGCATCCAGCTCCATTTTGACTCTTGGCATCTTATGGTTGCGTTCTGTCTCCTTTGTTGGCTTATTTGTTTTATTTTAGTGATTGCTCTAGGGCCTTTAATATCACAGTCTACCCCCAAGTGCTGTTACGCCACTTCACTTAAAGTATAAGAACCTAACAGTATATACTTCCATTTCTCTCCGCTCAATCTTTGTGCTGTTATTATGCATTTAACTTTTATGTATGTTGTAAACCCACACTACATTATTTTTGTTTAAACTATTATCTCTTTTTAAAAATTTACCGTTTTAATCCTTTTTAAGCATACAAATCAGTGGCATTAAGTATATTCACAGTGTTGTGCAATCATCACCACTATTCATTTTCAGAACTATTTCATCATCCCAAATGGAAGCTCTGTACCCATTAAATAGTAACTCCCCGTCATCCCCTTCCCCAGCCCTTGGTAACCTCTGTTCTCCTTTCTGTCTCCATGAATTTGCCTATTCTAGGTACCTCATCTAAGTGAAATCAAATCGTACAATATTTGTCCTTTCATGTCTGGATTATTTCCCTTAGTGTTTTCAGGGTTCATCCATGGTGTATAGCATGTATCATAATTTCATTTTTTTGAAGGCTGAATAATATGTTCCATTGTATGTGTATATGATATTTTCTTTATCTGTTCATCTGTTGATGGACATTTAGGTGTTTCCTTTTGGCTATTGCAAATAATGTTGCAGTGAACGTTGGTGTACAAGTATCTGTTTGAGTCCCTGCTCTCAGTTCTTCTCTGTATATCACATGGTAATTCTGTGTTTAACTTTTTGAGGTGCTGCCGAACTGTATTCCACAGTCACAGCAGCATTTATACTCCCGTCAGCAGCGCACAGGAGTTCCATTTTCTTCACATCCTCGCCAACACTTATTTTCCATTTCTTTTTTTTTTATCATAGCCGTCCTAACATGTGTGAAGTAGTGTCTCATTCTGGCTTTGATTTGCATTTTCCTAATAATTAGTGACGTTGAACTGGAAGCAGAACGACTCTTATTATCTTAATGTGTCTTTCTTTTGGATGCTGTAGGTTCTGGTTATCAGTGTATTGTGTGAATACTATAAATATACTCTATCAAAAGATGAAAAAAATCAACACTCACAAAGCATTAAAATGCAGGAAGTTAAATACCGAGTCGCTTTTTTTGATAATATGATCAGTATTGAGAAACTTTTTGATTCAGAACTCTAAAGATAGTTGGCAATACCCAGTATAGTTGTTGGATGAAAGAAAGTAATCCTTCACATGTTTTTTCATGATTCCTGGGAGAAACAGCATGATTTTATTGTTTTCCTACATCGTTATGCCTTCTAGAACAGAGGAGACTAACGTATGGTTTGTAGGTGCTTGACTAGCAAAGAGAGAGGTGAAAAGAAGGTGAACTGTAATGCTTTACCTACAGAATGGAGAATTTACTAGAAAGCCAGGCTTTCCAATTAGTGAGCTACAGAAACCATTTCATAACTGTATGATAAGCCTCTAATTGAGTCAGTATATTGCCATGTAGCCAAAGGCGCAGAGTCTTAATGTAAAGAGGAATCCTCAGGGTTGCCAACTCTTGCCTGGAAAATCGTGCATCTTCCTGTAAGAAAGACAAATGTCTGAAATTCTGTCTGGGAGCATTGCCTAAGTAGTCTTGAGGACACAGTGTTTACCTTTTCATTTACAAGAAGCGGAGTATTACCTGTGTACCGTCAGTAGAGTCATAGAGGTAGGAATGTGGCTTGACCATCAGGAAAACTAGAGATCATAAAACTGATTGCCAAAAATATCGGTATTGTTTTCTTCAAGCCGTTAATTCAAGATGAACAAAGGAATGTTCTCTGTGAAAGGGCTTTCAGAGAGTAAAACCTGCTGACTTTTCCAACTTTTTAGCCAAACCGAAAGTATCAGAAATAAGTGGTTCATTTTTTAAAAAGTCTTTTTTGAGGGCTTTTAAATAGTAACACATGTGCACTGAAGAAATTTTGAAATAAAGAAAAGCATAAACAGAAAAGCAGAAGTCACCTGTCAAACTCCCATACAGATGTAATCATTATTGGCCCATTCTGATGATTTTCTTCCTCTTTTTTCTATGTGGGTTTTATATGTGTGTAGTACTTACATGCACACATACATCCACAAAGACTGTATAAATATGTATGAGTGCTTATATATAGTTTTATTTTCGGGGGTCATCCTTTTTAACCCTGGTTATGGAGGAATCTTTTTGTTTCTATTCAGTTTGTTTGCTTTACTAGACAAAATAAACATCATAGCTATAATGATCCATACTTTGACTTTTAATATATTGATTGTTATGTTTCCTTCCTTAAAAAAACCTAATCTAAGATACACCAAAATTATAAATCAATATAATCAGTGAATGTAAAGAACTCTTGATTTTATAAAACAGTTTACTACAATATTCTCTGTTGAAGTAATTTAAAGACTGATTTTTCCTGATTGCATGTGAAATATGGTTTGGTTTACAGAAATCTGACTTGTACACATCTTCTGAGGGATGTATCTTGTGCCTAATGGTGACTACATCTATATTTTTGATTTAATTGTTTTTCCTGATAAGTTAGAAGAGAAGAAAACACAAGTAAAATGAACTTAATTTTGCAGTAAAGGAAAATTTTCCAGGAAGCATTCATGTATGTATTTAATTTGTTTTTACAGATTCCTCAATCTTTTGTATTGAGACCATACAAATCTCTCAATCTTCACCACCTATTAGACATTTTTAAAATATAGAGAAATGTATTGCTGTAAACATGTTATTCATTAGGTATACCTACTATGTTGCAGACGATGTATTAAGCACTAGAAATACAAAGATAAATAAGACATAATCATAATAATCATTGTCTTATTGAGTATTTTCCATGTGCCTGCCATCATTTACATTGATTATCTCAGTTAATGCTCAGAACCCCGTGAGGTAGCTTCCGTTATTATAATCCCCACTTTACAGATAAGGAAAACAAGACTCAGAGAGGCAAAATAACTTTGTCTAAGGACACATAACTATCATCTTTCGGACTCCAGAATCTCTGCTCTTATTGGGGAAAGTTTTGGGTGTTATAGGAATACAGAGAAGGTGCATTACCTACCATGCAGAGTTTTGGCCCTGTTCCTTAGAAAACAAAGCTGGAGGAGTGGCCTGAGTGCTAAGTTTTTATTGAGTGATACCAGCCCAAAGCAGCAAGAATGAAGGAAAGAGGAAAGACATTACCAAGTGGGCCTTACCCTTGTAGGGAAACTGAGCTGAGTGTCTGCTCATGTGGCATATCTTATAGCCATGTGGTCATCTTTTAGCCAGGCCATGGGAAACTACCACTTCTTGAAACAGTCTCATTTCCTGTCTGTTATTCATCAAAGTTCAGCCATTGGGGCATTAAGGTAACTTGGGCAGGTGTTGGTATAACCCATGGACAGCTGCTAAAGAAGACAGATTCCATATCCTGTGATGTCGTGTCTCATGAGTCTGGAAATGCCTGGATGAGCCACATCCTCCATGGGTATAGGTGGGACGGACCTAGGGTTTGAAACTATGGCTCCAACTGCTATTGAAAATCCTACACGAGAGAATTTCACAGTAGAGGAGTGATGAGATCTGACTGTTGTAGTCAGAAGTGGAGACTCAATTATAAGGTGGCAAGAGGGACAGAAGACAGCCATCAATAGGCTATTGTAAGTTCTTCCAAGAGATGATGGTGGCTCGAGAATAGAGAGGAGTTGGTAAAGATGGTGACAAGTGATAATCTTTGACATTTTTTTTGGAGATGAAACTAGTTTAGTTAAAAATTTAGGTACCGGAAAGTAATTTTATAGGTACGTAATATGGAAACTGAGAATTTTCTGGGCAGTTTTTGGAAACTGAGACATTTTTGGGCATTCTCCTTTTTATGTTCAGTAACCGTGGAATACCTGATCTTCTTTCCCTGCATCCTCATTGCAAGGCAGGTAACTCATCTTTCCATCTTTCCCAGAGACTCCACTGATTATGCCGCTTGAGGGTCCTTCTAAGACACACACTGGGTTTATATTTCTATCTGGTATATCTTTAGTTTGCTTCTGTCAGTGCAACTCTGGTTCACAGTGGGCAGTGGGTTTCAGAGGAAGAAAAAAAGCCTTTCAGATATTCCCAGTAACGCTGCCGTGTGTACTCTCTGCCTCTATTGATGCAACGTCTCCAGGCCCTTTGGTAGCTGTGAGATTTGCACAAGGGCGCCAGGCTGAGAGCTGTGTGGTGCTGAAACCCAGCCATGCTCTACTTATTACATGTGTTAGTTTGAGCTTATTCACTCACAGGAAGAGTACTTTTTTCTAATTCACGTGTAGGTGGTGTATGGGCTAGTAGAAGCTCTCTTTCTTCTTTTGTCTTCTCATGGGAAAGGTGTCTCGCTACTTTAAAAGCAGGTCACCATGAACTTCGGAACATGGTTGGCCTCCCCTTGATCGTAGACCCAGAAATCCCGGTACAGTCTTTTTGGAATTACAGATAAGGGACTTGTGACGTAAAGTTTTAAGTGTCCTTTTCAAGGTCACATGTCTAAGAAGTCATGGAAGGCAAATTAGAATCCAAATCTCATTTAACTTTTTCAAAAAGTATTTCTTTCTACTATTAACTGCCACCATATACCCTAGACAAAATATTTTATAATATTATATGCAGATCCCATGCTCAAGGACATGACTGTGTATTAAGGGTGAAGGTGTATGATGTATAAATGACCATACCACAAAGTGATTGCACATTGTGGGCTCTCCATTCATATTTTTTAAATATTTGTCAAGGAAGCATGTATATTATATAAGAAAAATCAGGGGCCTGCCCCGGGGC